ACACCATATGGTGTGATGGAAACTTACCTGGTAGGATCACTAGGGTCTAGCTGGTTAACATTTTAAAGCATCATTACAAACACCACACCATATGGTGTGATGGAAACTTACCTGGTAGGATCACTAGGATCTAGATGGTTAACATTTTACAGAACGATTACACACACCAAACCATATGGTGTGATGGAAACTTACCTGGTAGGATCACTAGGGTCTAGCTGGTTAACATTTTAGAGAATCATTACAAACACCAAACCATATGGTGTGATGGAAACTTACCTGGTAGGATCACTAGGGTCTAGCTGGTTAGGTAAGTTTCCATCACACAATATGGTTTGGTGTTTGTAATGATTCTCTAAAATGTTAACCAGCTAGACCCTAGTGATCCTACCAGGTAAGTTTCCATCACACCATATGGTTTGGTGTTTGTAATGATTCTTAAAATGTTAACCAGCTAGACCCTAGTGATCCTACCAGGTAAGTTTCCATGACATACCATATGTTTTGGTGTTTGTAATGATTCTCTAAAATGTTAACCAGTTAGACCCTAGTGATCCTACCAGGTAAGTTTCCATCACACCATATGGTTTGGTGTGTGTAATCGTTCTGTAAAGTGTTAACCAGCTAGACCCTAGTGATCCTACCGTAATCGTTCTGTAAAGTGTTAAGGTGTTTACCATATGGTTTGTGATGGAAACTTACCTGGTAGGATCACTAGGGTCTAGCCGGTTAAGATTTTGCAAAATCATTAGAAACACCAAAGCCTGTGGGCTGTTATAGACCTAAAGTATTAAGAACAAAATACTTGGTTAATTTATTGATTGTATGCAAGCTATTTATCATCATTCTAGTACAAATACAATCTCAAAAAAGTGTTTTTAAGAAAAAGTAAATACTTATTTTTGTGTTTATAATACAAACCCAAAAGAAAAAGTGAGAGTTGTATTTTTACTTTTTTGAAGTAAATTATGTATTGAAATGTAATGGTGTTTCTTATTTAATTATACTATACCCTCTCATTGTTGTTGTTGAGGTACAACCTACTGGAGAGGGCTTTTATTTAAGCCTGCATATCATAATGTTAATACATAGCTAAGGACATTAAATAAACCATTTGAGTTGAGAACATTGCCTGTACAACCACGGCATCATTAGAGACCCAGCTTTGTATATCATACTGATAATCCAGCTGGTAACTTAGCAATGTGAACAATGTAAACTAGCCAACCCCAGCCATAAACAGGGGTGGTAACCTAGAAACACCACAGCCATAAGTATTGATACCTTGTTGTTCTTTATTATGCTGGTATCCTAGCCATAAGTGAAATAGATAAACTAGTATATTATATTATGATAGTAATCTAGCAATACACGCAACACTATATAGATGCACAATCTAGTGTTGTATTATTATGGTTACCCTAAGCAACACACAAAGTACTAAGTAGACGTGGGAACCAAGTGTGTTGTACTATTATCGTAACCTAGCAACATACACAGCACTAAGTAGATTTGATAACCTAGTGTGTTGTATTATGACGGTAACCTAGCAACAAACAAACACAATGTAGATCTGATTAATTAGAGTGTTGTATTATGATGATCATCTAGCAACATACACAACACTAAGTAGATGTGATAACTTATTTTATTGTATCTTGATGATAACCTAGTACCATACAGTCATAAATGAATGAGATATCTCATTATCGTAATATTTTTTAATGTTGTAATTCAGTGAAAGAAAACAGAATTGTGGGAACTACAACCATGCAGCTGTCAACATCACTGTACAGGTTTAACCCACAAATGTTTCAATGCTTCTCATAATGGTATTGCAACATCTGTCTAATTATCCCCACAAGTCTCCATCTGCACAGTAGTTTGTACTACCTAGTGGTATCTAGTTATATTTATATCGATGTTTTTCATTTCGTAAGTTCATAATGAATTATGACGTATCTGCTTGTTTGATAATTTCCCGTAAAAATTCTTCCCGAGAAACTTCAGCGATACAAGTCCTTTCTTAAGTAAAACTAGTTTATTCTTCCTCAGTACAACTGTGCAATACACAGAATTTCCACAATCACTTTAACTTCAACACACGCTATAATTCACAACGATTCACGCACTTTACTTATGGTCACTACCGCTCACTTGACTCAATTATCTGTCTCTATATCTCTCTATCTGCAATTATATCTCCGCTTTATTTGCCGGGCTTATATACTAAAATAGAGGATGCCTACAAAAGACTAAAGTTGCCAGGAAGAGTCAGGATCCTTCTAAAAACTCCAACGCGCATGCTTCCAGCGTCACATGACTTCCGCTGTCGTAACAGAATGTTGGAAATAACGCATTTTGTTGAAGCATTTTCTTTTATTTTTGGCTTATATATTTCCTTTTCATATACTAGATTGATTTCAGTTCAAGTTATTAATTATTCAAAACATATTGTATTATCTAGTACAAGAATAAAACTGAACAGATTTTAATGTAATTTCTAACTGACCTATGCATGATACAAGAACAGACATCATAATACTGTTACAACAGCGGAAACGCCACGCGACACTGGGAGCATGCGCGCTGGAATTTCTAGAAGGATCGTGATTTAGCGGGCAACCTCACGAATGACCCGGCATTTGCTAGACACCCTCTTTTTTAGTATGTAAGCTGGAGATAGATTGAAGGGAAATAATTGAGATAATCGAGTCAAGCGAGCAGTAGGCACCGTAAGTAAAGTATGTGAATCGCTGTGAATTATAGCGTGTGATTAT